AATTAGTTTGCCGAGCTTAATGTGCCAGTGTACCGGTTCATGAGTGAGTGCATTTTTAATGGTGTGTAGACTCTGCGTGTGTGCGCGCGTTTGCGTTGTCTTTCTGGGGTGTAAGGGGGCGGAATTTTACGAAAAATAATGATGTAATGATTATATTCGGCATTTCATAAAATAACCGATAGTTTTGATTTCTTTCCGAGGTCGGTGACGCAATGCGTATGGTACGAAAAGGTAAAACAAGGAAGAAAGGAAAGAAAAGATGTTGAAAAAGTAAAAGAAAAACCGAAACCTCATCCTCCCTGAAGCCGAAGGCCCAATGGGTTGAGGCAGCCATTGCATCCGGGTTGGGGATTGGGCCGAAGGAGAGATTGCAGAGGACCGAACCCTATCGCGGAGATCCCCACTCCCCAGCGCGCCCGATCAGCTGATTCCGCTTTGTTTACGTTGGTGCTCGGAGTCTCGTTTTCGTTCGCTGGGATTTCCATTTTCTGTTGCCTCTCTCCGCTCTCTGGATGGTTTTGATATGGGGGTTTAAAGGTTCGTTTATTTGTGTTTACTGTTGTTTTCGTATTTTTTCATAGATATTGTGATTTTATGGTTAGTATCATTGTTGTGATTTTATTTATTCCAGTGTTGTTATCATCATCATCATCATCATCATCATCATCGTCATCATCATCATCATCATCATCATCATCATCATCATCATCGTCATCATCATCATCATCAACGTCATCATCATCATCGTCATCATCATCATCATCATCATCATCATTATCATCATCATCATTGTTATTGTTATTTATTATTATTATTATTATTATTATTATTATTATTATTATTATTATTATTATTATTTTGTTGTTGTTGTTGTTGTTGTTGTTGTTGTTGTTGCTGTTGTTGTTATTGTTATTATTATTTTTTAATCATTATTATTATTATTATCATCAATATTGTCATTGTTATTGATGTTATTGTTATTGTCGTTATAGTTATGATTATTATTATTACTATTATTATTTGCATTATAATGATGATAATGATAATAATAATGATAATGGTAATAGTAATAATAATAATGATTATTATTGTTATTATTATTTTTATTGTTTTAGTTCTTATTATTATTGTTATTGTTATTGTTGTTATTGTTATTATTATTATTGTTGTTATTGTTATTATTATTATTGTCATTGTTGTTATTACTAGTATCATTATTATTACAAGTGTCATTGTTATTGTTATGTTAAATCTCATCAGCATTATTATTATTATACGTGATTATTATTGGAGCGAGAAAGGGGGTACTGGAGTTGAAGGAGATGAAGGAGCAGGAGTAATAGCAAGAGCAATAAGAAAGGAAAAGGGTGAACAAGGCAAAGGCAAAGAAAGGTAAAGACAGGAAAAAACACGAGAAAAACAGCGACATGGCCAGCATCTCTTGCCGGGTCTGTTTGCCTCGTTAGCGAACCACCGCCGCTAACAACCGGTTCAGCCGAGAATGTTTGTCGGACGGTTTTGTTTGGAAGTTGCTGTGTCACCTGAGGAGGTGGGTGGGGGGGGGGATGATGGAGATATTGAAGGAAATCCCTTTTTTGCGAGTGCTTTTTTGTTCATTTGTTTCAAGGGACGTTTTCCTCTCGTACCGTTGCTAATTGTAGGCTGTCTGGGGAGAGAGAGAGACGCCATGCATGCGGCTTTCTTGGTTAGGTTAGGAGAGAGAATAGTTTATTAACCTTTTTGCGTTTCAAGTATGACTCACCGTTTCTTTTAGCCTCTGACTAATCGACATTAAGGCTCACCCCATTGTAATGAGCAGACGGTTACCTAGTTTTGAGCGAAGATTTTCGCACTGCGCGTTGGGAAGCGAAAATTTCTGAAACACGTGACGGCTTCGCGAGACCTGCGCCACCCCCTCCCCCCTTAATGCTTGGAGGCTGACCAAGGCGTGAGGCGGGTCAGGATGGGCTAGCGAGCAGGTATTTATTGCCTGGGGTTATGGGCGTCTGTTTGTGTCTACCTTTCTGTTTGTCGGCCTGTTCCTGTGTTTGTCTGTCGGTCTCTCTCTCTCTCTCTCTCTCTCTCTCTCTCTCTCTCTCTCTCTCTCTCTCTCTCTCTCTCTCTCTCTCTCTCTCTCTCTCTCTCTCTCTCTCTCTCTCATATTTATATATACAACATGCATGGAACTCGTGCATGGTTGCTTGCATGGTATCAGCGACGCGTGGATGAGTGCGGGAGATGCCACGTGACTTACTCATTTCCTCTTGTGGTTTCCTCACGCCGGCCTGCCTCTCCCTTCTGCCTCCCCCTCCCCTCTCTCTCCTCTCTCTCTCTCTCTCTCTCTCTCTTCTCTCTCTCCTCTCTCTCTCTCTCTCCTCTCTCTTCTCTCTCTCCTCTCTCTCTCTCTCTCTCTCCTCTCTCTCTCTCTCTCTCCTCTCTCTCCTCTCTTCCTCTCTCTCCTCTCCCTCTCTCTATTTTCTTATCTATTTCTTATCTCTCTATTTCTCTATTTCATATCTCTCTCTCTCCCTCTTCCTCTCCCTCTCTTCTTCCCTCTCTCCCTCGTTTCCTCTCTTCCTCCTCGTTCCCAATCCTCTCTCTCTCCCCCCTCTCTCTCTCTCTCTCTCTTCTCTCTCTCTCTCCTCTCTCTTCTCTCTCTCTCTCTCTCTCCTCTCTCTCTCTCCTTCTCTCTCTCTCTCTCTCTCTCTCTCTCTCTCTCTCTCTCTCTCTCTCTCTCTCTCTCTCTCTCTCTCTCTCTCTCTTCTCTCTCTCTCTCTCTCTCTCTCTCTCTCTCTCTCTCTCTCTCTCTCCTCTCTCTCTCTCTCTCTCGCTCTCTCTCTCTCTCTCTCTCTCTCTCTCTCTCTCTCTCTCTCTCTCTCTCTCTCTCTCTCTCCTCTCTCTCTCTCTCTCTCTCTCTCTTCTCCCCCTTCTCCTCGCTCCCCTCTCCCGTCCCCTCGGTGTTTTTTCACTTCCATAATTGGTTTCTCCTTTCTTGGTGTTTATGTTTGGATAGTTTTGAGCAGCTTAAAGAGTAGAGGAGTAAGAGAAACAATAACTGTCATTGTAATTGTAATAGTCATTAGAAGAGAAGGGAAGAAAAGAAAAGAAAAGGGGAGGGGGGCTTAAGGGAAGAAGCATAGACGAAATAAATAGCAGTGGAAATGTAGAAGAAAGAAAAGGGTGAGTGAGCAAGGAGGCTGCCGAGAATTGAGGAAATGGACCTGGTGGGGTGGTGCGGGTGGGGGTGGGGGGGTCATAGGATGATGATCACTCGAGGCTTTTCCTCGTAGCCGATAATCAGCCGCTGCTTGGGATGAATAAGGACTGTCCACTTTGTTAGGAAATGGGATTGTCGACCCTAAGGCTTGACTAATTTGTGGTGTGTCATTGTTTTGGGTTAGTTTCGGATGTTTGGGTCGTGAATAAGATAATCTTCGGGGAAAAAACTGATTTTACGAGAAGGAAAATTCGAGGGATAATGCAGTGAAGGAAATGAATAGAGGTATTTGATTTCCGGGTAATGCTTAGATTGAATTATGGGAATGGGAGTGAATTCTGCAAATGCATAAGTATATGTCACTGGGAAACAGAACTATAGCTTGAAGTTTACTTTTTATAAATACACTTTATACCAAGAATCTGGCGACTGCTCTCAGGACAGGGAAACCCAACACGAATATATAGTCCTAGAATTAAATTTGACAGTGCCGGTTGGTGCCAGGCAGTGCCAGCTGATCAGGGTTTGGTTTTATGTGTCTCTTTTGTTCTTCTTGGCCACTCTCAGTAGCATCTTTAGAAAAAAAATAAAAAAATCTGCAGTCGTCCGTGGCTCGTAGATATCCCTCTCTCGTTTTTGTTACGGAAAATATTGTTAGCATGGACGCTGCAGATCCCTTGTGCCTTGAATTATTTGTTTGTTTTGTGCTGTGGAGCCGATTCTGCCAGCCCCGGGACTAAAGCAGTGGCCGAAAGCGCAGCCAGACGTGGGGGGGATCGGAAGAAGGGTTCGTTGGCTCGAGGGCGGCGCGGGGCGGCGGGGCAGGCGCGAGGTCGAATTCGTCTCTTCAGATGGGCTTCCGTGTCGCCTTACGGGTTGCGCGGTTTCGGATCTTTTTGTTTAACTATTTAGCCTGTGCGATTGGTTACTTAGTTATTTATGTATTCATTCATTTTTTTTATATTAATCGTTTTTTGTCCGAGCGATACAAGGGAGGGGTGAAGGGGGAATTGTTGAGGGGGGAGGGGGTGGCGATTGCTTTGGGATGGTATGGTTATAATGGTTGTTATGGTGAAGGTGTAGAAGAGGAAAGAAAAGCACGAGAACAATCACAATAATACGATACTTGAGGGCAAGAAAGGACAAAGGTGTGGGTGCAGCAGAATAGGAATATCGACAGTATTATTAAATGAAATGCATGGCCAGGGACAGCATGACCTTGTGGTAGAAGAACAGGAACATAAGACTAGCCCCAAGTACAAACGCCCGACTGGACCAAGCAAGCCGTAACGACAACGAGAGACAAGTAACGAGAAAAAGCCATTCCCCAACTTGTGCCATCCCACACTCCTCGCAGCCACCATGTCACAGCGCCACCAGCAAACGACCACGCCATCACCACCATCACCACCTCCACGAACACACCAGCAACAACCCTTACCATTCACTACCATCATCAGAACAACCGCTATCGCCGCGCCTGCCAACCACCATGACTAACACCACAACCCACCACTGCAGTCTAAACACTACTAAACGTCAGCACCGTCAGACAAACCAGTTGCACCAAAGCCCCTCCACCACCACCGCCCTCCACCATTCCACCACCAAAGCCCTCCCGCACACAGCACTAAACCCTCACCGCCATCACCACCATCACCACCAAAGGCCCCTCCACCACCAAGCCCCTCCGCCACCAGCACTAAAACCCTCCACCATCACCATCCCCTATCCCACCACCAAAGCCCCTCCACCACCAAAGCCCCTCCGCCACCAGCACTAA